TACATTTGTATTTCGGAAAATTGCACAGTTCTAATCACCTCTATGATTTCAAATAGTCAACACAGGAGTCTAGATGCCATGATAAGCATGCATTCTATACTTGACATACTACATTAGACATATTGACTATTATAATATGCCGAGTCCAAATCAATAATGTATTTTTGAAACACTTTCGATAACTATAGTCAAAGTGTTTCATTTTTATTTAGTTTCTATTTACTTTGTATTCACTTCAGCTATCGCATTTTGCAAAAAAATATATTGAATATAAGCACAAATTTGTGTACGTTCACTGTAGCAGCAACAACTTAGACTCTCGATGACCTCCGGCCTGACCCCTCTAAAACACACTTTCCAAATTCATATATTTTAACATTGTATTTAAGATTGTATCATATTGTGAGCGCACACGAATTGCGCGTGTGCACATGTCGACCGAAACTCGATGACCTCTGACCTGACCCCTCTTAAATACACTATGTTCTTTCAAAGTATCACCTTTCAACTTAAAGAATGTATTGTATGTGAATGGAGCGTGTGCATGCATAGACTGAGCATTGTTTACAAACCAACGATGTAATGTTGTATAAAATCCCAATTGAAATTCACTTGCTGAGATCACCGCATATCAAATATGAAATAATAGCAAACATGTTTTTATATTATTTGATGACGATATACTTTTCTTTGGTTTCCAAATAAAAATGTCTTAATGAACACTGATTTAAATTGCAGAAGATATTCAGCTTCTTAAAATATAGTAAGTATTTTCGGTATAATGTTCCTTTCCGTATATCACACACTTTCTACATTAAAGCACACTATTTTAATAATTTATTATTTTCATTGTGGTGTGTGCTAGCTTGGCTAATGGAAGTATTGCATAGTGCACATTTTGTGTATGCTGACACAATACTGGCACAGTATGACACACAATTGCAGCTTCCGGCACAGCATGCCATATCGACCGAATATAAAGAGCCAGGAGGGAGAGAACCATAACCTTGGTGTGGGATTGCTCTTATCTTCTGAAGTAATCAATTGTGCTGACGCCGGGAACAGGTTTTACAATGCTATTGCCTTATCCGTAGAACACACAAACACATCTGTATTTTAGTTGGTGACTTCAATGCTGGGGCGGGAAGGTTATCCGTTGAGTCCAGGGTCCCTATGCGGCAAGTGAGATTGCAAATCACAAAAGCTTAGGCCACTGAACAATTGTATCTATAAAAACACATGGAACAGCAATGCTACAGAAGCAAGTGCCCAGCTAGACAAAGAACAAGAAGATAGAACAAGTTGAAGACCGAGGTTATACGGGGCAGCTATTTCAACTAGTGATCATGAAAAGCTCGCCACTGATACATTCAATCAATGCGAAAGTGATGTTTGGAAGGCACATTTTAAAAATTTATAGTGAGTGTATTATGAACTTACTCAAACGTGTATACTGCTTGTTGACCATGTCTAATTAATCACTGCTTATTATTATTCATTTTGTTATGTTATTTATTATTTTATTTGTTATAGCTATTTTTAAACACAAATATCAGTCTGTCACAGTGTGCTAATTTCTTAATTTTGACTAAAACATTAAACTAACAAATTCAAACCAAATATTATTATAACTATACTTAATAACGTAATAGCCGCTGGACCATTCTTATATCAATTTCCATCACATTCTTTACCAACTCATGTTTTTATGACCAGATGATCACTGTCCATATTTACTTTTTTGATATCATAATTACACCTAACACCTAATGTCTATACTCTGATATAAATATATTTCAAAATTACAATTTATTTCCATACGTTTTATTTATACATATTGTATATGAGTTACTACACGAATCTTGTTCTCAGATTTTCGCTGTGTGCTGGCATATCATCGTGAGAGTTTGTGATATCTGTGTCGAGTTTGCTGCCACTACTAAAAGGACGTGTGTTTGTTTATCGTCATAGGCGTATGTTATGATGTGTAAACATTAAAGTGGAATAGCTCTCACATAAATACCAACGAAATCGACATATTGCCACAAATATGTTGAATTCGATCGTTTTATATGATAAATTCTAAACGTTTTAATAGCTCGATTAAATTTTCCTTATTTTCTAGCGTTATTAAAAACAATAACGTTTTTGCCAGCATTGGTTTTTGTTTATTTCTAGAATATGTTCAATCCATTGAATCATACATATATTCCGGAAATAATATAATACTATACAAAATATTAGCAGAGAACAAATAAGATAGAAGCGAGTCGTTCAAACTATACAGACCACAATCCCATTGGTGGGCGGCACGAACGTGCAGATAAGTATGTGGCATATGGTGGTTATTCGTGTATTCTATTGTATGAGGAAATAACAAACTTGAGATTAGGGCAAAGTGCTAAATTCGGAATATTGAAAACAGTGCACAGGTTTTCTAAAACACCACTATTTTTCTGTTTCATTTATTAATCTACAGAACAAACAATTACATTTTTGGGGCGTTACTCCGATGAGGTGCAAATCCGTGGCATATTGTGGCCATTGGTTTATTTATATTGTATGATGCGTTAACGAACTTCAAACGAAAGTCAGAAACATGTAGCCGAGCATTATGTCCAATGTCGATATAATTGTATCAGAACTGTCTTTGATGAAGTTCCAGTTAATGTTTCAGTAAAGAACAAAACAAAATATAAATGTCACGCTACTCATATCGGACTGTCGAGCTGTATCGATCTTCGCTGTAATGCGATGAACGAGGTATGTAGAGATGAATCAATGGAGTGGATGGTCGAGATCTAATCGTTGCATGATAATTAAGCAGTTCTCTTTAGTACCAGTCACTTTTTATCGTAGAGGGTTAGCCACTTTTAGTCTGAAGTTAGACAAATCTGGGAACATATACCAGCTCCACCAATAGCACATGTTATTTTCAAACAATGCTAACGGATCAGAAGACAACTCACTGCGAGTTTCCTTGCGAAATTCGGCATATTTCTTATTATTACCATGTATATGGTAAACTGAACTATCAGAACAAAACGCACTCTTCGCCTTTCCTATCGTGTCTATCCACGCCTCTTCGTGGGCAGCCTGTACAATCTGTGGATATGCACCAATTTTACGGAGAACTGCTGTTTTAGCCATGAAAAAGAACATGAACATTTCTCCCCATACACACTGTGGATATCCAGGTACAATATTATTACGCGGAAAAAATGGTCCCAGATTACAATATCCCTGTGTATCATTGTAACCAATTTTTCGAAGTCCTTTGAGTATTCCCAGATTTTTCACCTCACCACAATTTATATCCATGTCAATATTTGGATCTTCGAGTTTTTCCATCATAATTTCCAGATTGGTCTCGTTCGTGAAGTACATATCATCATCTAAAAATACAACGTATTTTGTTCTGACCTGACTCAAGGCAAGGTTTCTTCCTGGAAAACTTCCTTCTCTGAAAGGCATGATGAAGTATTTGACATTGTCTTTTTTGATCGGTTTTGGAAACTCGGAGTCATCTGCAATTATTATTGATATATTTGGGTAGTATTTATGAACACGGGAAACAAACTGTTCAATAACATCGGGTCTTTCAAATGTTTTAGTGATGACTGTGACTTTATCGATGACTGAATTTCTCTCACCAGGATCATACAGATCTGGCAATGGTTCCCTCCGAATGCGAACATAGATATCAGCTGTAAAATTCAGTAATGTGATTTGTAATTGATCACGGGCATCAAGCTCATAGTTATCACTTGTATACAGAATATTAGTGTCCAGAATTGTGTTTAGAAGCTCTATATTTTGCTTCAAATTAATTTTCAATTCAAATGTCCTTTCACCGGATATGACGTGGTTTGCTAACATCATAGGATTTATCAATTTGCTTAAATGGAGTTTTCCCATTTTCTTTGTTGAGGATATTTGTAGAGTAATATTTGTGTTCAAGTTTGGTAGCATTTGTTCTACAATTGGATGAAGTGACAATCCAATGATGGGCACTGTTTGATACGGCTCCACGGTGATACCACCTCCAATATAGTTAAATGGTGACATGGCTTTGCAGATAGACAGTGGTTCCAGTCGTTTGTTCTTCTCAAACTCCCACTTATTTCCTTCTTCAATTCGTCGTTTGTTCACAGGTTTTAACCATTCCGGTGGATCAGGACAGTTACACCGCAACCTTCCAATTTGCATAGCTTTTCTTAACACGTCTTGATCGAATATATCCCCAATCTCGTAGATATTATTTTGAATCAATTTACCAATGTGTGCTGTTGGGGAACGAGCAGTGCTGCGACCGTGTTCGCCTGTGTTGTCGACTTCATAGGTTGATGGATTGAAATACCGACCGAACGTTATGATTACAAGCACCATGAACACAGTCGACAACACTAGTTTCACAAGTCCCATAGGAATCCTGTGGGTCAACGCAGCATAGAACATCATTGTGTATAGCAGTGAAGCAACACGATGAATGCCGGTATATTAAAATGTAAATGTTCTCTTAAATTTGCCGTTTGCATTTCAATAGATTGCATAATTAATAACTTCACGCATGCTCACCTCTGACCGAACATCAACATATAATCTACTTGAGTGTGGAAAGTGAGCTGTATATTGAAAATTGCATTGTTGTCAGATTATCATTTTCGTTTCATTATGTGATTTGTTCAAATTACGTTGAACAACTTGTTTTTAATTTCCGGGCATGTTAGATCATGATTGCAGCCATATATTTGAATTTGTCACAATATAAACTATCAAGATAAAGGTAGTCCTGAAAAGTAAGATATTGTGTTTCTAAATAAAATAATATCAGAAATTTACATCTTTTATTGAGATTTTGATTTTTAACATCTTCCTATATATATATATTCCATACAGTATAAACAATTAAAATTGCATAGAGATATTACAAACAATTTAAAAATCATAGTGAATTAAATACATTAATTAATTAATTAAGAACAAAATTAGTACTCCTCTTGACTCTGTCTTCAGACTGGTCTGTGCATAAGATTATCTGATTAAAATTACAATTTTTTGAGGGCTTGCTAAACGCCACATTTAATAAACTACCTAGCTTTGATTAATCTGTGTGAATCAGTCTCAAAAATTAAAGATATAAGTTACATTGTTATGGTCCATGTCTAATGCTGGTTGTTAACATTATGAGTAACACTAAAAGCAGCAACATCAATTAGCAATATTCATAGAGTATATAATTGTTCACACATTACATTGTATTTCTAACTGTAAACTATTAAGTTGGCTTGCTACCAATATTCAATTCAATATTATGAGGTAATTGGCAGCCATTTTCTAAAGCGTAAATGGTTACATTTGTTGTTTCGTTCTTGTTCACATTAAAAGTATTTCCAGAAGGAAAAAACAATTAACTTATTATAAATGTATAAAGATTTCAACCCAAGAGTTTCTTTTCAAGCTTGGTATCCCTTGGTATTATGTTTTACTTTCTTGGTTGGGCAGACTTCACATATTCATTCCATAAAATCATTACAATGACAAAATGAGACTGCAGCTAATGATTCTTGTCACCAATATACATGTGAATAATCTTTCATTGCAAGTTTAAGTTTCATATGTATGCATGTTTCCACACTGTGACAACATTTTGTCTCAAAATCTGTCCACAATTAATCGTCCTGGCAATTTTCAACAGTATGTGAACTTCTTTGGTCCACTCTCAATCAGTTTTTTTTTCATGAAAAAATAAAATAAAATAATATATCATATCAGCGGTTCTCGTTACAAAACTCTAAAAATATGGTCAATTGTTAACACAGCTTGACATCACAATATACCCTGTAAAATACTATACACCTTTTTCACCACATTTTGAGATGTATCATTGCCATAGAAAACAATGGTAACATGTCCAAGCCAAATGTTATTTGTGATAGCGCAAGTGGGACGTAAATTGGGGATCGGTGAGAGACAAATGTCAGGTTAGCAAAAGCTGTATCATACATCATGTATGGAACCAGTGAAAACAAATTATACATATATTTATAAACAAAGTAAGTGAGAAAAAGATAAAAATCAGGTGCACAAAATTTGTGTTTGTGCATCAAATCACATACAATTTAATTTTGTCATTGAAGATCTTCCTCACTCTCTCTACAAGTCAACCAGCTGACTCATCTTGATTTAGTGAGTATTTCACTTTGAATTTCGGATCCCTAAAACATTAAAGAACACAATATACATGTAACCACAGAAACATCATAAACGATATCAAACTTGAAATCCTAGGTACTAACTAAATGAACTTGCTGTCTCCTCCCAAATTAAAACAAATCAAAAACTCCTATGATGCATCAAAATACCCATGATTCATAGGTACTAATAGCTTTGGTGGCTGTCACCCAAACAGGATCCTTCTTCAAATACTTCAGTAGATCTTTGCTTTTGTTGACGTCATCTTTGTGGAAATGATGGGCAGCAACTGCAATATTTAGAATAGCATCTGTTCCATCATCTTCGGCATTAGTAGTCTGATGAGAAAACAAATGATAATGAGGGACATTATATCAAAACTTATTTTAATAAACAAATAATTTTAGTATTAGATAATTAATATATTTAGAAAAGAAAGCTTAGAAAGAACTTCCATGAGATGAGAGTATTGGAGATATTTATGATATATTTACTGATACTTATCTATTTGATATGCACAACATAATAACAATGTGACTCACATTATCAAAATTTATAATACATACAAAAATACATTTGATTTTTCGTCCGTGGTTTTCAGTCTATTGAATTCCAGAGCACCTCTGTGATTAATTCAATTTAAATCTGATTTTTAAAAATCCGAAATGGGTGAATAATAGATATGCATGTTTACTAAGGGACGACGTCAAAAGATAGATGTCGGATAAAAAACTTAATTCTTTTAGTTTTTTTCCAAACCCCCCCACTGAAACTTAATTTATAAATATTGATCATGGCGTCAGACTACATTCACCATTAAATACAAATCGATAATCGGACAGTAGTATGGCATAGCACTTACATGTAGTTGTAATAATGAAGGGGAATATACGCATGCGCAAACTACTTTTCTGGGTTCTGCGCATGCTCTAGGTTCATGCCCTGAAATTGACCTTATTTGACGCACATATTTACACTCGGACCAAACCATTTTCTCGTCTTGGATGTTTTTTTTCCATTTTCTGTTATTTTTGTCTATGATTGGATAGAAAAAAAACGAACTACAAATACTCCAAGATTTTTTTGACTTCATTGAAAAATAAAATCGTTTTTGTAGGATGGAAACTTTTTGAGGTCAAAACCCCCTCACCCCCAAACTAAAGCAAATAAGTTTTTTATCCGACATATCTTTTGACGTCGTCCCTAACATTAAACTAATCAGTGATCAAAAAAGTACCAATAACAATATGAAGTTTATTGTCAGTAGGGAAAAAACACCGAAGTTTTTGATGACAAAATAATCTGGTTGTTGCATGCCCAGAATGTTCAGCGTACACATATACTTTAACAATATGCAATCTGATATGTATGCCCTGCATTGAGTGCTAGTGTATTGACAATCCATATTAGACAATGTGATTCAATTAATCTGTCACCAAATTCATCAAGTTGTACTAAATCCGGCTGTAAATGTAGGCCTATGGGTTAAGTCAACATTTGAAGTTTCAAATTCATGATCCAAAATGTTGTTTTTGAACTCAAATATATGGTCTTATTTTGTTTTGAATATTCAAATGTATGATTTACCAAATTTCATCATGGTGTGAACAATACTGTTATGAATGTTATCTACCACTAAAGGGCACTGTTCATTAGTAATATGTCCAAGTAGTACAATTGCACCATGCGTCCATTCAAAATATATATAGAATGTAGTATTTTGTGTTTCAATAATCAAATCATGATATATAATTCTAATTTGAATCCATGCCTATTATCTTGATATGATAGTTGTATTCAAACCAGAATTGATGATTGGAAGAGTGGTCAGAATAATTTTCTGGATTCTAAATTGACATCACCCATGAAAAGCTTCAATTTACATATAAGTGCTAACAGAGCAAGTACAGTATGCTGAAATAGTCTGTAAAGTGCATGTTAAAAACAGTGTAAACATTGACTCACATCTAGTTCAATCCAGAATACCCAGGGTGATGTTGCATAACCATGGCCGTAATTGATGAAATAAACACCATCATTGCTGACATCCGCTGACTTTCCAATTTTACCACGTAAGGACCATTTGGTGAGCAAGACACCTTTCTTTGGTTGGATATACACAGTCATGCGTTCAGAACCTAGTGAAATATTATTTTCATTATAAAATATTATTACTTACAAAGAAAATGTGCTGCCTTTATTTTTTAAGAATTACAGAATAACTGCAACATTAATTACTACACTCACCAAGAAGAGAAAATTTGAGATGGCGTACAGATTTTGTTCGTTTCACATTCTGCACAAGTTTGAACTGGACAGGATCAATTGTATTGACTGGGCTAGCTGGTAACCAGACACTCTTTCTGAAAGAAAAAAATTCTATCAGCTGACGTATATTAAAGAGGGGTAAGTACATACTTTTTTATAGGGCTGATGATGTGTCAGGTGACAATTACAAAATTAATTTTCAGTATGCGCATTTTGCCACACACTAAACACATATTTCTTGTGGGTACTACGTGGCAGATTGCACATGTGGAGTTGACAGTTAAAATATATATAGTGGCATTTATACACATCATGTGACCAATGGTAATATGGTGTTATTGATCACATGTGGCCAATGGTAATATGGTGTTATTGATCACATGTGGCCAATGTGAATATGGTGTTACTGACCTCATCATGTGGCCAAATTGAATATGGTGTTACTGACCTCATGTGGCCTATGTGAATATGGCATTACTGATCACATCATGTGGCCAATGTGAATATGGTGTTACTGACCTCATCATGTGGCCAATGTGAATATGGTGTTACTAACCTCATCATGTGGCCAAATTGAATATGGTGTTACTAACCTCATCATGTGGCCAAATTGAATATGGTGTTACTGACCTCATCATGTGGCCAAATTGAATATGGTGTTACTGACCTCATGTGGCCAATGTGAATATGGTATTACGTACTGACCTCAAGTGGCCAATGTGAATATAGTGTTAATGACCTCACCATGTGGCCAATGTGAATATGGTGATATTGATCTCATCCTGTGGCTAATAGGAATATGGTATTATGTACTGACCTCATCATGTGGTTAATGGGAATATAGTGTTACTGACCTAAACATGTGGCGAATGGGAATATAGTGTTACTGACCTCAACATGTGGCCACTGGGAATATGGTGTTACTGACGTCATCAAGTGCCACTGGGAATATGGTGTTACTGACCTCATCATGTGGCCAATGGGGATATGGTGATACTGACTGCATCAT